TGCAATTTCACCTGCTTTGAACGGAGATGTTAATGTACAGCAGTATTCCAGCCTAGAGAGAACAAATGATTTGAAAAGGATCATCATTGGCTTGGCATCTCTCGTTTTGAACGTTCTCATTATCCATCCTATCATTTTCTTTGCACTTGTGATCCTTGAAAGTGAGATCCTCAGACATTACTACTCCCAGGTCCCTTACATTATTTTTCCGCTCTATTGTATGGCCGGAGTCAGTAGTATACTCTGTTATAGTTATTATCTCCTCCAGTTTTCCATAACGGAGTAGTTGGAATTTGTCCTCATTGAACATCATATTGTTTACCGTTGCCCACTGGAAAACTTTGTTTATATCTTCTTGGAGGTTAACCGCGTCCTCAGCAGATGACAGCCTCATGCAGATCCTAGTATCATCTGCAAATGATGACACGGTGCTGTGGGTTATATCTATGTCTGATATGAGGATGAGGAACAGGATGGGGGCGAGTACTGTGCCTTGTGGAACAGAGCTCTTCACTATGGCAGCCTCCGATTTAACTCTGTTTACCGCTACTCTGTGTTCCATTGGTTAGGAAGCTGAAGATCCATTTCCCCACTTTGCCAGTTATTCCTTTAGCACGTATTTTGTGCGTTATTACGCCATGATCGCATTTGTCAAACGCTTTTGCAAAGTCTGTGTATATTACATCTGCATTCTGTTTTCCTTCCAGTGTATCCAAGGCCATATCATAGTGATCCAGTAGTTGCGAGAGGCAGGCGCGACCTGCTCTGAACCCATGTTGCCCTGGATTGTGCAGTTTTTGGGAATCCAGATGGTTTGCAATCCTGCTTCTTAGCACTCTTTCAAAGGCTTTTATGATGTGGGACGTTAAAGCTATTGGTCTATAGTTCTTAGCTAATGCTTTCCTGCCACCTTTATGGAGTGGGGCTATATCCGTTGTTTTAAGTGACTGGAATTTCATCGATGTCTAAGCTCCTCCTCCACAGTATACTTAGGGCACGTGAAAGAGGTTTCTTGCAGTTCTTAATGAAAACAGTTCCACAAGTCTGGGCCCGGGGCTGAGTGCATGGGCATGTTGTCAATGGCTTTTTCAAAATCTATCGGAGTTAGGGTAATGTCGAAAAACTGGCATACATTTATGGAGTTTTGAGGCTCATTCATGAAGAAATCATTTGGGTCGTCGATCCTCAGACTGATTAGTGGCCCACTAAACAGAGTCGTACTGGGATTTCAGTATTTCACTCATTTCCTTGTTGTCATCTGTGTAGACATAAAACCCCAGATACCACCCTAGATATACAATCCTCGACATACAATAACGGGTATCATCTAGGTTTCACCTCTAGATATACACGAAAATGTTTATCATTTAGACTTTACCATCCCAGTTATACACAAACACGTTGGTAACTAAGACACATAGGCAACAGTTAGGTATCTTTATTCCGAAACGTTTCGCCTACACATTAGTCTTCAGTCGAGTACAGAAAGTAGGCAGGAGCAGTACAGAAGTGAAGACGATGTAATCAGTCTATCACCCTTGAAGACGTAGATGAAAATTTAGACATGTGCAAACATGTGTCTAAATTGTCGTGTCGGTACTGTACACTATTCTTGTACAACTTATCAGACACTGCAACATCATGGAATCTTGGTTCAGAGGACATCTGCATGGCCTTCTTCACGGATACTATAACTTACTTATCCCTTTGAGTATGAACTACTTCCACTGGGAAATCCCGCCTATCAGTGACTATGCCCTCGTCTGCTACCCGTCCCTTTCCACCTGATGATTAGTATTTAAGCGCCAGCCTCCTTGCCTGTGCTCCAGAATCTTCACAACTACGGTGCTCTTCACACCAACCCCAAGGCTGAGGGACTGATTACCTCATCTTTTGTATATAGTTATACTGTCTTCAAATTAAGTCCTAGAATCTGTATTGATAAAGCCACTGGAGGGCGAAACGTCTACAATAAAGATACTCAGATGTTTGTACGTGTCTAAATTTTCATCTTGTCGGTTTTGTATACCATTCTTGCACACCCTTGAAGACGTAGATATGAGGTTGTCAGTCCTTCAGTCTGGGAAAGAGTTCTGTTTCAGACTATGGAACATAACTGTTCATCAGGCTGAGGGACTGATAACCTCAAATATATGTCTTCAAGGGTGATGGACTTATTACATCGTCTTCAATTCTCTGCTGCTCCTGCCTACTTTCGAGTACTTTCTGTACTGGACTGAAGAAGCCTACTGTGTAGGCGAATCGTTTCGGAATAAAGATGCCTAACTGTTGTCTGTGTGTCTTAGTTACCAACCTGTCGGTATTGTATACCATTTTGATATTCACACAAACACGTGTATTATTTAGACTTGTTTTAGAAAAACACGTGAGCGAACACTAGAACATACTTATTAGAAAACTTTTCGGTCCTGAGACCTTGATCACTTTTAGTGATCAAAGTCCCAGGACCCAAACATTTTCTGTGTCCTGGTGTTTGCTCACGCGTCCTTCTTTACCCATTTGTCGTTATCTATTACCAAGGTTTATATAATTTAGGATTCACTACTCAAGACATCATAAAAACGTGTATTATTCAGGCTTCTCCACCATATATATACAAACATTTGTATTATTTAGGCTTTGTCATCCCAGATATACACAAACACGTGTATCATCCAGGCTTCTTTACCCCAGTTATACACAGATTTCTTATTTGTTACATATTTATACAACTGGTTCAAGTCGGGTTTTCCAACTTGCTGCCTCCCATTTAAGTTGTCAAAATTGACGTACAAGTATGCAGAAAGTTTTAAAAACAGGTTAGATAAATACATGAGTGGGTGTGAGTTGGACCTGCCTCGCATGGGCCGCCAGTACGCCTACTGCAGTGCTCCTTCTTTCTTACGTTCTTATGAGAGGGTGTGGGTCAGTAGGCCGGTTGCAGTGCTCCTCCTCGTTTTTATAAAATGATTCATTCACAATAATTTTATAAACGAAATATAACGAACTATTATATGCATGACTCACGAAATCGTAATAACACGATTTCAAATTAAACCCCAACCGTTCCGTGGTTTATTATATTCACGTGGAAACGCTAAACCATATCGCTGAACACGGAACACGAACGGTTCAACCCGTAGAGTTTGTCAAAACTCGTAGTTGGAATACTTGACTATAGAAGTGTCAGCTCTGGCTACATAAGAAAGAACATAAAACAGAAGGAGCACTGCAGCAGGCCGGCCTACTGACCCAGGCCGGTCAAGTCCAACTCTCACCCACCCACACCTACTCATATATTTGTCTGACCTATTTTAATAACCACACAACTTTTCAGCTTCAATGACGTTACTCGGGAGTCTGTTCCGTAAGTCTCCCAACTCAGGCTGACACTGCTCAAGTTTCCCAGTTCTGGGTGACACATTTAAACACCTAGGTGACCCACCCTGTGTGATGGAGTATGACAGGGAGCATATCTAACTTTTATTCTCACTGTGTAACTGGTATACAGAATGGTATAGCAGCACACTGCTGGTGTTCCCACTGTATAATACAGAATAGAATAGCAGCACACTACGGATATATCTAATTTTGCTACATTATAACAGACCAATAAAAACTGTTATGTACCTTTCTTGACTGCTCGCGTGAGAACTAAGCAACTAATTAAGATTTAGCTAATTAACACATCACGTAATGACATGCGGGTCATAATTTGAACAGCTGTACGAAAATAATCCTTTCGTTAAAATCTGAATATAGTTAATCCCTGAGATAAACATGCGAATATTTTTTACAACGAAAAACACTGGGTAAAAAAATAAAAATAAATTGAGTCTGGTTTTCCTCGATGTCTTGATGATAAACATTTTACAGAGATAAAAAGGTAGATGTATATTTATAGTTAAGCACTAAACCCGTAAGGATCAGACAGCGCATGGGGAGAGAGTGGGAGCTAATCTGGTTTGATCCAAGGAAGAGGAAGCTAGCTCCAATTCCTTGGAGCACGCACCTTTCACCAGCATCAAGGTATTCCCTCCCTCTAAAGTCAATAAAAGTTGACTGCATAATGCAGTGTCAACTTCTGCAACATTTGAACGTTACACAGGGAAACGTTTCGCTCCCACGAGCGAAAAGTTCCACAATAAGGTGTTGTGGCGTTGCACAGTTCTTTTCATTTGTAGTGTGCCAGGTTCTTGTACAAGGTGAGAACACAAGGTCTTTACCACTCAGGCTGTTTACTTGTCTGAGACTTTCATAAAATCTTGTATCGTCTACCTTTCATAAAACCTTGTATCGTCTACCTTTCATAAAACCTTGTATCGTGTACCTTTCATAAAACCTTGCATCGTGTACCTTTCATAAAACCTTGTATCGTCTACCTTTCATAAAACCTTGTATCGTCTACCTTTCATAAAACCTTGTATCGTCTACCTTTCATAAAACCTTGTATCGTCTACCTTTCATAAAACCTTGTATTGTCTACCTTTCATAAAATCTTGTATCGTGTACCTTTCATAAAATCTTGTATCGTGTACCTTTCATAAAACCTTGTATCGTGTACCTTTCATAAAACCTTGTATCGTCTACCTTTCATAAAACCTTGTATCGTGTACCTTTCATAAAACCTTGTATCGTCTACCTTTCATAAAATCTTGTATCGTGTACCTTTCATAAAGCCTTGTATCGTGTACCTTTCATAAAGCCTTGTATTATGGAGTTTCCTCCGCCTTAAAGCTCTTTAATACCTGATCTGTTTAATTTACTTGCGGAAATAAAGGAGGATTAATACTGCATTTATACGTACGGTTATAATCATAATATAACGATTATGATTATAATCGTGGGGAAGACCTAATTAACCAGTGGTGGTTATAGAATATCTCATATTATATATAGTTATGTAGATATAAATGGATATGTAGTCAGCCCTAGGCAACGCGGCTGGAAGCCTACGGGTACTAAGCTTGTCGTCTTCCAAAACATTATTAACGACTCACCTGGGCGCCCAGCCGAAGTCATTAGGGTCGTCTTTAAGTCGTTGTCGCGGCAGCGGTCGTTCCATATTGCTATCACAAGAGCACGCTCATGAACCAGCCTAGCAGCGGGCATAGTACACATGGCTGGCCTCATTAACCATCTCAGTCATGGCCTGCAGCAACCTTAATTCATTTATCATTCTGTCTTGTTCGCACGTCAAAGCTGCCACTTGTATTCGTTTCTCTGGTGGAGTTAACATTCCTAGTGCGAGGCTTCCAGCCAGGCATTACCCTCCCCGGCCTAACTTCCTTTTAAAGTTCAAGCCTAACTTTTTTTATTAAGTTCCGCGCACTATTCTAAACCACATTTTTTTAATTTTAAACAGTCAACACAGGTTTATATTAGTTGCCACTTCCACTAAACGATTGTTTCTGCTCCTTGCAAGGGAACTTTGGGTATATATATATACATAAAATTGTAAACTGCCACTTTCTTAACTGTCCCTCTCACTCGTTTCATTATTATTTCCTCTTCTTCCTTTTCGTCAGCGGTTCCTCCATGGTACACTTCTTTCTTCCTCTCATAGTGTATCTTACAATCTGCAGCAGTTGCTGAGGCGTTAACCTTCCTCACCAACACAAGGCAAAACCATTCACAACTTTGGAGAATTCATCATCCTGACGATAAGATCTGGGTAATCCATAATTCATCCAAAGTTTTCACTTAAACCAAACCAGAATCGTGTATATCGAGATGCCATGCAGATGCGAGCGAGGGTTTGATCAGGTGAGTGCGTTACTTGGATACAGGCAGCCAGACAAGGAAGAAACTGGTGTTGGGAGCGAGGGAGCCAATCCGAAGGAGCGCAGCTAAACACCCACCCACCACGGCCTCAACAACCACACTGGCTGGGCCAGCGCTGCTACACACTCTCATCTGCTCACAGTACTGGAGGGGAGGGGAGGGGAGGAGAGGGGGAGGCGATGAAACAGGAGGGGAAGCGAAGGGACTGGAAAGAGGGAAGGGGATAGCTGAGATGTAAGGGGGAAAGGGGAGGGGAGGGGTATACGGGAATGGATTGGGAGAGGACATTTCATGGAGTAGGCAGAGTAAATGAAGGGAAGGGGTCTGGATAGCTCATTCTCGCACCATGCGTGATACTCGTACAGATTTGAACGTTTCTTGGTTATTTTAGCCACCAACGCTGCCAGACGTACATTAAATTAGCATGTGTTGTTAAACATGCCTTTATATAGGTTCATGTAATCTAACTCCAGCAAATTCAACCCAACCTAGCATATCCTAGCTTAAAATAAGAAAACAATCTAATACAACAGATAGCATCAAGAAACTGACTTGAAAAACGTACGGAAATTAACGTAGCAAAATGAGTATTGGTTGGTTGTTGAGGGAGGCAGGGAGGAAGTTGTTGAGGGAGGCAGGGAGGAAGTTGTAGAGGGAGGAAGTTGTTAAGGGAAGAAGTTGCTGAGGGATGAAGTTGTGAGGGAGGAAGTTGTTAAGGGAGGAAGGAAGTTGTTGAGGGAGGAAGTTGCGGGAGGCAGGGAGGAAGTTGAAGGAGGCAGGGAGGAAGTTGTTGAGGAAGGAAGTTACTGAGGGAAGAAGGAAGTTGTTGAGGAAGGGAGGAAGCTGTTGAAGAAGGGAGGGAGTTGTTGAGTAAGGGAGGAAGTTGAGGGAGGCAGAGAGGAAGTTTGAGGGGTCTGAGAAAATGGTATTATTAAGTTTAGGGAGACGGAAGAGTGTTGTAGGAAGAGAGGGAAGTGTTTTAGGGAGAAACGAAGTGTTTTAGAGACAGAAGAGTTTTTCAGGGAGAGACAGAAGCCCTGGGACATTTTAGGTAAAGAGAGAGCATGAAGTGCTTAAAGTGGCTGAGAAACAACCATTATTATTATTATTATTATTATTATTATTATTATTATTATTATTATTATACTAATCGAGGGAAGAGGGATGGTGGAGAGAGGAAGGGATGAGAAAGGGACATAAATAGATGGGAAAGGAATATAAATAGATGAAAAAGGGATATAAACAGATGAGAAAGGAATTTAAACAAATGGGAAAAGAATATAAACAGATGGGAAAGGAATATAAATAGATGTGAAAGGGATATAAATGGATGGGAATATAACAATATCTTTATTCCTACATGTACAACGTACAGAGGCCTGGCAGATATTAACGACATACTACTATATAGAAAACCGCTTGTTATGCTGAGCATTTCGGGCAAATTAGGTCAGTTTTATCCCAGGATGCGACCCACACCAGTTGACTAACACCCTGGTACCCATTTTACTGATGGGTGAACATGGACAGTAGGTGTCTTATAGAAACACGCTCCTGCCTCTCACAACTACTGGATCACTATGATATGACCTTAGATGCACTGGAAGAAAAACAGAATGCCGATGTAATATACACAGACTTTGCGAAAGCGTATGACAAGTGCGATCATGGCGTAATAGCGCACAAAATACGTACTAAAGGAATAACTGGCAAAGTGGGGAGATGGATCTTCAACTTCCTAACCAATCGAACACAAAGAGTAGTGGTCAACAGAGTTAAATCGGAGGCTGCCATAGTGAAGAGCTCTGTTCCACAAGGCACAGTGCTCGCCCCCATTCTGTTCCTCATCCTCATATCAGAGATAGACAGAGATACAATCCACAGCACCATATCATCATTTGCAGACGATACTAGGATCTGCATGAGGCTGTCAGCTATTGAGGACATGGTTAACCTCCAAGAAGATATTCACCAAGTTTTCCAGTGGGCAACAGAAAACAATATGTTCAATGAGGACAAATTCCAACTACACCATTATGGAAAACTGGAGGAGATAATAACTAGAACAAAGTATACTACTGACTCCGGCCATACAATAGAGCGGAAAAATAATGTAAGGGACCTGGGAGTAGTAATGTCTGAGGATCTCACTTTTATGGATCACAACAGTGCCACAGTCACAGGTGCAAAGAAAATGATAGGATGGATAATGAGAACGTTCAAAACGAGAGATGCCAAGCCAATGATGATCCTTTTCAAATCACTTGTTCTCTCTAGGCTGGAATACTGCTGTACATTAACATCTCCGTTCAAAGGAGGTGAAATTGCAGCTCAAGAGAGTGTACAGAGAACCTTTATTGCACGTATAAGTTCTGTCAAGCACCTGAACTACTGAGAACGCTTGGAAGCACTTGACTTGTACTCGTCGGAACGCAGGAGAGATATATCATAATCTACACTTGGAAAATCCTGGAAGGAATGGTCCCGAATCTGCACACAGAAATCACTCCCTACGAAAGTAAAAGACTGGGCCGGCGATGCAAAATACCCCGAATTAAAAGTAGGGGCGCCATTGATACACTAAGAGAAAACACCATAAGTGTCCGGGGCCCAAGACTGTTCAGCAGCCTCCCACCAAACATAAGGGGAATTGCCAAAAGGGCCCTGGCTGCCTTCAAGAGGGAGCTGGACAGATACCTAAAGTCAGTTCCGGATCAGCCGAGCTGTGGTTCGTACGCTGGACTACGTGCGGCCAGCAGGAACAGCCTGGTTGATCAGGCCCTGATCCACCGGGAGGCCTGGTCAGGGAGCGGGCCGCGGGGCCGTTGATCCCCGGAATAACCTCCAGGTTATGTATCCAGGTAATGTTATCCAGCCGTATCGGGAATTCGAACTCCAGACCTCAGAGTGTGAACTGAGTGAGATAGTGATCGAGTCCGGGACCCAAGACTGTTCAACAGCCTCCCATCAAGCATTAGGGGAATTGCCAATAAGCCCCTGGCTGCCTTCAAGAGAGAGCTGGACAGATACCTAAAGTCAGTGCCGGATCAGCCGGGCTGTGGCTCGTACGTTGGACTGCGTGCGGCCAGCAGTAACAGCCTAGTTGATCAGGCCCTGATCCATCGGGAGGCCTGGTCATGGACCGGGCCGCGGGGGCGTTGATCCCCGGAATAACCTCCAGGTAAGCTCCAGGTAACACCATAAAATGAAAGAGATATAAATGGATGGGAAAATGATATAAATGGATGGGAAAATGATATAAATGGATGGGAAAGGAACAGGTGGAGCCTACCTGCAGTGTCCCCCCCAAGAGTGACCACCCCCGCGGCCCGGTCCCAGACCGACCTCCTCCTCCTGGTAGATGGTCTGATCAACCAGGATTGCTGTTGGGAGTCTACCTGGAGGGTATTCCGGGGATCAACGCCCCCGCAGCCCGGTCCACGACTAAGCCTACCGGTGGATCAGGACCTGATCAACCAGGGTGTTACTGCTGGCCGCACGTAGTCCAACGTATGAACCACAGCCCGGCTGATCCAACACCGACTTTAAGTATCTTTCCAGCTTACTCTTGAAGGCAGCCAGGGACCTATTGGTAATTCCCCTTATGCATGTCCGGAGTCCAGTCTTGGACCCCGGACACTCACGGTGTAACAATGGCACCCCTACTTTTCACTAGGTGTATTTTGCATCGTCTGCTCAGTCTTTTACTTTCGTAGGGAGTGATTTCTGTGTGAAGATTCGGGACCATTCCTTCTATTAGAGTAAATTAATGGAAAAAAATAGATGAGAAACAGAAAACGGATGGGAAAAGGATAGAAAGTAAATGGGTAACGGGTAGGAAATGCATGGGAGAGGTTGAAAAGTTTTGGCGTGGAAAACACTACTGTACTTGGGAGGGAGAGAGAAAGGTTGGGTACAGGGAGAGATGGTGAGGGTGGGAACGGTAAGAGATGGTGAGGGTGGGAACGGGAAGAGATGGTGAGGGTGGGAACGGGAAGAGATGATGAGGGTGGGAACGGGAAGAGATAGTGAGGGTGGGAACGGGAAGAGATGGTGAGGGTGGGAACGGGAAGAGATGGTGAGGGTGGGAACGGGAAGAGATAGTGAGAGTGGGAACGGAAAGAGATGGTGAGGGTGGGAACGGGAAGAGATAGTGAGGGTGGGAACAGGAAGAGATGGTGAGGGTGGGAACGGGAAGAGATGGTGAGGGTGGGAACAGGAAGAGATGGTGAGGGTGGGAACGGGAAGAGATGGTGAGGGTGGGAACGGGAAGAGATGGTGAGGGTGGGAACGGGAAGAGATAGTGAGGGTGGGAACAGGAAGAGATGGTGAGGGTGGGAACGGGAAGAGATAGTGAGGGTGGGAACAGGAAGAGATGGTGAGGGTGGGAACGGGAAGAGATAGTGAGGGTGGGAACAGGAAGAGATGGTGAGGGTGGGAACGGGAAGAGATGGTGAGGGTGGGAACGGGAAGAGATAGTGAGGGTGGGAACAGGAAGAGGTGAGGGTGGGAACGGGAAGAGATGGTGAGGGTGGGAACGGGAAGAGATAGTGAGGGTGGGAACGGGAAGAGATAGTGAGGGTGGGAACGGGAAGAGATGGTGAGGTGGGAACGGGAAGAGATGGTGAGGGTGGGAACGGGAAGAGATGGTGAGGGTGGGAACAGGAAGAGATGGTGAGGGTGGGAACGGGAAGAGATAGTGAGGGTGGGAACAGGAAGAGATGGTGAGGGTGGGAACGGGAAGAGATGGTGAGGGTGGGAACGGGAAGAGATAGTGAGGGTGGGAACAGGAAGAGATGGTGAGGGTGGGAACGGGAAGAGATGGTGAGGGTGGGAACGGGAAGAGATAGTGAGGGTGGGAACAGGAAGAGATGGTGAGGGTGGAACGGGAAGAGATGGTGAGGGTGGGAACAGGAAGAGATGGTGAGGGTGGGAATGGGGAGAAGTAGTGAGTGTGGGTACAGGGAGTGATGGTGAGGGTAGGAACAGGAAGAGATGGTGAGGGTGAGAACGGGGAGAGGTAGTGAGGGTGGGAACGGGGAGAAGTAGTGAGTATGGGTACAGGGAAAGATGGTGAGGGTGAGAACGGGGAGAG